GGAGTGCAAGGGGTGGAGTGGGTGGGGCGGGGGCAGGGGCGGGGCGCAGAGTGTGCTGGACGGGATTGGACCAGGTGGGTAGAGGGGGAGACACCTGAACCTGCCCGTCGCCTCCGCTTGGTCCTCCCAAACCGCGGGAAGGTAGGGTAACCCTAAGGTAGACGCTGTGGGATGACGAATGACACTAGCGAGTCGGTGGGCGGCGTGGCCCAGCAGCCCCGGCCTAGCTCACTGCCCAGGGCCCCAGGCCTGGCCGGGAGCCCTCTGCGGCCTTCCCTCCAGCGCCGGGGTCACGCCGCCCAGCACGGAGAGCCACATGGACAGTGACACGCTTTTCTTGCCGCTTGCAGCCAGGAGGCCCCCATCACTCCGGAGGCTGTGTGGCCGCCCAACTGGAGGCTGACTCCACAGGTAGGTGGACGAGGTACCTGGCATGGAGGCTGGCGGGTGATCCCGGGCCTGAGACGCCCTGTTCCCAGAGCTTGGTCTCCGGCTTCCACCTCCCCACCTGGTACGGCAAATGGGACTGCCAGCCACCTCCCCGAGGGACCGTCTCCCAGAGCCCAACTTCTGGGCAGGTGCCTGAGCCAGAGAGTGGGAGAGGGGTCAGGGCGCTAGCAAACATGCCCACGGACAGCAGGCCGGGCCTGTGCAGTCAGCTCCTTGACGGAAGCCCGGGACGGAGCCCCTTCCGACCCACCCTCCCCTTCCCCTCCCCACAAAGCGCCACGCGCTGTTTGTACCCCACACGGCCTATGCCAGTTCCCCTCTCCCCCGTTCCCTTGGGTGCAGCCAACAACACCTAGCAACAGCTAAGCCCTCCAGCCCCACGGCCAGCTCTGGGGAGCAGTGTCCCCTCAGAACGGCCTGTAGGCTGCAGCGCCCCCTGCCGGCCAGTGTGGAACTGGGCCCGAGGGGAGGCCTGACCCTGCAGTCCCCAGGTGGCCTCCCAGGTGGGGATCCGAGCAGTTCTCCCAGGACAGGAGCCCAGCTCCAGCAGGAGTGCAGACGCAGGCCCTGCTTTCTTGGTGTTGACAGAGCCTGGGCTCCCCTTCGTTCACGCCCCACTGGCTGTGGGTCAGGGGCTCCACCCCCTGGAGACCTGTTCCTGTCGTCTGAAACCCACGGTCTGCACTCCAACCCCCTGCAGTTGCTTCCACTGTGGCTTCTGGGGTTCCTGACAGCCCTACACACCTTCTCCAGACAAGGGCCTGCTGGAGAGCCCATCTGCTAGGATTTAAGCCCTAAAGACCCCACAGAAATGAGCTGAGAGTCTTCTCCCCACCTCTCTGACGCCACACTCACAGGTCTAGGTGCAGCCTTTCTGGAGGACTTGGGGTACAGCCCTTCACACTCTTAATATGAATTTGTTTGGTGTATTTGTTTCCTCCACCAAGTGACTCAGATTAACTTATCTGAATGGAGGAAAATGACCCCAGGAAAGTTGGCCACGGAGCAGAAAGACAGTCCGGGACATTTGGGGTCGGGTGAAGCTGCCTAGGAGGACAGGCCCAGGTAGGGGGCTTCAGGCAGTCCCAGACGAGGGGCCCTAGGAACAGAAGGGGCTTCCCAGGGCCCCTCAGAACTGGGAAGCGGGCTGGCCAAGTTGGAACAAGCAGGCATGTGTGGACGCACCCCATGTTTCCAGGTTACTGCACCCCCGGCATGGTCTGTCTGTCTGTCCATCTCTCTCTGGCTCCCTCTTACTCCCACCGGGGAATCGGTCACTGAGTCTGGCAGGAACCTCTCCCTCGGCCATCTGAGCTGAGGATCCCTCTCCTAAAGGCCAGGGTTTATACCAACTACAGCTGCCACCACCTCCATGGGAAGCCACCAGGGCCCACGTGGGCTTCCTACTGGGGACCACCCAGCCCCCAGTGCACCCGACTCACCGCTGTCTTTCTCTTCCAGGCTCCGTTGGGACCATGAGAGCCAGCTTTGCTGGGGCCCTCTGTAGGTTGAGGATGTCCATGCAGCCCACCCAGCCCATGCCCTGTGGCCCCCCACAGCCCCGAACTTCATCCTAGCATTGAGACGGAGCGGCCATGCCAGGGGAGCAGCCCCTTGGGGTGCCACCCCTGCCCATGACTGGACACCTGCAGCCCTGCTCAGCCTCCCACGACTCGGGGTGCCCCTCTCGGCCCCCCAGCGAGGACAGCGGCCAAGCCTGCAGGACAGCCAAGGGCACGAGGGAGGTGGGTAGCAAGGCCCAGACCACAGAGCCCCCACAGGCCCCACCAAGGCAGGTTGGCAAGGCGGAGCCCAGGACCTTGAGTGGCAACCCATGGCGGCCCAGAAAGGGGGGCAGTCCCCGGGGCCCCCCCGGAAAGGCCCACACCCAGACACAAGTCCGGCCACTGGGCAGGGGGCACAGCGGCCCCCAGCAGTTATACAGGCTGAGCATTGCCAGCACAAAGGACAAACGAGGCCTGGACAAAAGCCCCGGGGGCCCCCCGCCTGAGGCCCTCCTCACACCCAGCCTCCTGAAGGCGGAGGTCCTGCCTCAGCCCGACGAACTCAGCTTCCAAAGGTGCTTCTCGGAGACCCCCCCCAGCTTTACCTCCACCGACTATACCTCGCCCAGCCCCACCCCCGGGCCCCCGCCCCTGAGGGCCCCTCGGTCCCCTGGGCCCAGCCCCAGCAGGCCCACCCCCTACTCAGAGTTCCTGGTTGGCGGGGCCGACTCTTGGCCTCCTCCTGCAGAGAACAGGTTCCCTGCTGCTAGTTTTGGGGTCCCCCTCACTGACCCTGAGCCTTCTCCCAAAGGCAGTGGGCCCAGCCCCAGCCCCAGGGCAGCCTCCTTCCAGTCGCCCTTCCTGGCGCTGCGAGGAGAGGGCTCGAAGCCCTTCCCCGTGGACACGGGCCGGCAGCCCCGCACTGACGATGGGCCCGTGGGGTTCGCCTTCCACCCAACTCCAGGTGCATGGCCAGAGGGGTCGCTGGGCACCAGCCCGACCTACCCGCTGCCTGCCCAGCAGCTGCCCCAACTGCTGCCCTGCTACCCGGGCCCGGCCAGCAGCCTCGATACACCCCACAGCTTCAATGGGGCTCTTCCCAGTCCTGGTGCTGCCCCCCATACCCCTAGCCCCTTTCTGGCCAGTCTGCACAAGAGCCTGACCCCAGCCCTGCCCGAAAGGCCGCCATCAGCACACGACAGTGCGGTGAGTCCGAGGAGGGCCCCCAACCCTCTGCCGCCAGGGCACTTCTTGGGCAAAGCCTATAATGGCCCCAGAGCCAGCAGCGTGGCCACCAGCCCAGGGCCTCTGGACAAGGAGCTCGTCACCCCTGGGCGCACGCCCACCCCACGGCCCCAGCTGTGGGAGGGGACTGGCGAGGCCCTCCCTCTCATTGAGCCTGCCGCAGCCCCCTTCCCGGCTGCGCCCCCAGTGAAGGCCGTGTTCTTTAAAGACCAGAGGCTCTGTCTCCAGCACAGCCCGCCCCTGCCCTGGTCCCAGGTGCTCCCAGCTGCTGGGCCCGGCCCCACCCCGATGGAGCTACTGAGCCAGCTGCCGTACCCCACCGGAGCCCCAGAGTGGCCGGCCAGCAGCCAGGAGCCAAGGAAGGGCCCAGGCACGCCCACCAGCAGCCCCCCCGGGCTGTTTCCTTACAGTGGCCGGCAGGACACCAGTGCCCAGCCACTGTTCTTTGGGGTGACCCCACCCCAGGCCTCACCCCATGGGACCCCTGGCCTGCCCCCGCCGAGAGGGGTGGGCGCCTCCCCAAGTGAGTCCCCGCTGCCCTCGCCCGCCACTACTGTGGCCGGCAGCAGCTCCTGTTCATCCCTGTCCCCGCTGTCCGGCAGCCCGGCCAACCCCAGCTCAGAGGAGAGCCAGCTGCCAGGGCCACCTGGGCGCTCGACCTTCTTCCACCACCCCACCCACCCCCAGGAAACCAGCAGCCCCTTCCCGCTCCCTGAGCCCCTGCCCACCCACCCCGTCCACTACCAGTCGGAGCCGCCCAAGGCCTTCCCATTTCCCACGGAGGCGCTGGGGCCTGACGCGGCCTTCGAGTGCCTGCAGGAGGCTCCATTTGCCGGCCCGGGCCCTGGCACAGGCAGCACGGCGCTGGGGGCTTTCCCCCGGGAGCCACCTCCCTACTCGGCTCACCACTTCCCGCTAAGCAGTGCCAGCCTGGACCAACTGGATGTGCTGCTGACCTGCCGGCAGTGTGACCAGAACTATAGCAACCTAGTCTCCTTCCTGCAGCACCGGCAGTTCTGCAGCCTACTCCCCAGGGCCCCCGAGGGCCCCCCACAGCCCTCCGTCCCCACGCCCCCAGGGCCGGCCCCGCTCAGGGCTCTGGCCGACGTGCCCCCCCCAAGCCTGCTGGGCCACGCCAAAATGGCCGGCTTCCTGCTGGACGGAGATGCCTCCCACAGCCTCGCTGCCCCCTTGCCACTCCCGGCCTCGGACCTGGACCTGGATGACGTGGCCAAGCTGGACAGCCTCATCACCGAGGCGCTCAACGGCCTGGAGGACCCGTCAGACACCCCTGAGATTGACAGCAGCTTCATTGACGTGTTTGTCGACGAGGACCCTGTGGGGCCTAGAGTCCCTGCCGCTGGGCAGCCCCCCAAGACCAGGCCAGGGGCAACTCCGGACCTCAGAGCCCAGCCCCTGCTCCCAGCCACGGCATCCACGCCAGAGCCCGGTGGCCCTTGCCCAGGGACCAGGGGTTGCAGTGGGCCTGAAACCGCCTCCCAGAGCCTTGCACCTCCAGAGGCTGATGGAAGCGGCCTGGCTGGGCCGCCCAGGAGGGGCAGCAAGCAGCTCCAGTTGTTTCGAGAAGGGCTGGGTACGCCCCAGGGGCCCGGCGGGGGCTCCAGAACCATCTGCCTGAGGCCCAGGAAGAAAGACGGCGGAGCCGAGGCGCCCCGACCCCCAGCACGGGACCTCCGGCCCCAGGCCCCGAGCCCCGGCCCCCTGCCCGTACAGACCCGGAGCTCCGGGCGCCTGCAGCCAGCCCGCAGCAAGCACAGCCGGAGGAGGGCGGCCCAGGGCGGCCAGTGGAGCAAGGAGCTTCTCCACAAGGTGCTGCAGCAGAACGGGCTGAACAGGCGGCGGGCAGGCCGCGGGCGCGGCGGCCACGGCTCCCCAGGGGCCGCGCGGCCCCCGCCCAGCCCCGCCGGCAGCAGCCTCCGCCAGTTCGACTACACCTCTGAGTCCGAGGAGGACGATGGCCCGGGGGTTCCACGGCCGGCAGCCGGCGCCAGAGGCCGGCCCCAGGGGTGGCACCGAGGAGAGAAGAGGAAGGACGCTGGGGGGACCCCTAGCCCCAAAGACGAGCAGGACCAGCAGACACCCAAGAGGCTTGTGAGGCAGAGGGCTAGGGTAGACAGGAACCCCCAGGCCCCAGGGTCGCTGGGCGCGGCTACACCAAGCCCTCTGCAAAGCCCTGGGCTCAGAGAGTCCCATGGGGAGAAAGAACCCAAGGGGCCCAGCAGAGAGACCCCCGAGGAAAACCCCCCACCACTGGGCTGCTCCCAGGAGACCAAGCACACTGAGCTTGCTGGAGAGAACCCCCCTGGCACTTCCCAGCTTCTCCGAGAGGTTTGCAGCCTGTCTCCGGGCAACAGTGTGGTAAGGGGCAGCAGCCCAACAGCCCCACAGCAGCCCCAGCCTGGCCCAGAAGACACAGGCCTGCCCCAGCTACCAGGAAACCTCACCAGGCTGGGGCCGAGGGGCCGCATCCCACCAGCAGGGGCAGACAGCCAGCCCCCTAGGTGCCTGCCAGAACTGCCTGTGCCCACCACCAGTGCCACGGACAATGCCCACTCTACACCCAGCACCCAGCCTTTGAAGAGCCACGGCCTGGACTGGGGGCTTCCTCATGAAGGGGTCCCTGTTGCTACAAAAGGGCCCCCGCCTGACAGAAGCTCCCCCAGCGACCTACTCCTTGGGCCCAAAGAGCTGACCAGCCCCTGCGGCAAGCCCTTAGCTCCAGATGGGCCAGTTGGCAGCACATACCTTCGCCAGGACAGTCTGGGCGCTGATCCCCTAGTGCCAAAGTCTCCCAGGAACACACCGTATCCCACTGAGACAGATCCCAGAGACGTGCAGTCCCCACTGACCTTGGAGTCCACCTCGCTCTTCAGTAGGCTGCCCGTGGATGGCTTCGACCCCCCACTCTATGACAGCCTGCTGGCCAACAAACAGGAACACCCACTGCTCACCTGTGCCGACCAGCCCCCGCAGAGGCCCCTGCTGGACACGCCACACCCTGCCTGTGTGCCCGAGAAGGACTGGCCACTGCCGGAGGAAGTGGCCCCTGGGCTGCCCAGCCCCGTGGGCTGCTTCCCTGACCTTCCAGGGGAAAGCTGTCCTGGTGAGGGGCAGGTGGCACCCAGGACGCCCCCTGCACAAGGAAAGAGTCAGGAGGGCATGACCACCTCTGTCAGCACCTTGTCCGAGGAGGAGCTGGAGATCAAGTGGCTGGTCACCGAGCTGGAGAGCCAGCTGCAGACAAGCACCGTCAAGCACCAGGCCCCTGTGCTGCTGGACATGGAGCCCACGGGTGGCAACCCAGGGAGGGCGGCACACCAGCCCCCCATGCCGCCCACCGGCCCAGCCACCATGGCCCAGCAGGACACGTTCCTGGCAGACGGCCTTGCTGGTCCTGGGAAATCCAGTCCAGGTCAGGATGGCTTGGAGGCAGCAATGGCTCCCGTAGAAAGGGCCCTAGGGAGCCCCCAGGGGTGCTGGCCCTGCCCAGCCCCCGGCCCCCCTGGGGTGGTGGCCCTGCATCCTGGTGGCCAAGAAGACACGGGATCTGTAGCTGCTGTCGGCCCCGCTAGGGCCAGCTGTGCTGCTCAGTCGCGCCCCCAGGACCAGAGAATGGAGCCCACCCAGGCAGAGAAAGACAGCGGCATCCAGCTGGGCGGCAAGGTGCCTGGCCCCCCCCAGACGGTCTGGTCCTCCCGGGATGCCAGGAGCATCACAGAACGCAGTCCAGACCAAGAGCCCTGGTCTCCTGGAAGTAGTCGGACCACCAGAACACACCCCAGTGGGGGGGCCCTGCTGCCACAGCCCCCAAAGTGGGGAGGGGACCTGTCCCCAGAGCCCCCTGAAGCAGGGGAGCCTTGCCAGGATGCTCTCAAGTCAGGGACGTGCAGAAGCCCTGTCGCCCACTCAGCACCTGCTGTGACAGGTCAGGGTGCTGGGGGTGTCACTCTGGGGGCCATGGCCCTCTCTGGTACCGGACACCGCAGTGGCCCCCAGGAACGCCCAGCGGGGAACAAGGAATGTGAGCCAACGGAGGTGCATTCGGGTCCAGGGCCACGCTCTACCCCTGTGTCTGACGCTGGTTCCGGGAGCGGGTCCCAGGCCTCGGCTGCCAGCCCCTTATGTCAGCTCCAGCGCCTGGCGGCCAGAGCTGCGAAGAGTAAAGATGGGGCCCAGTGCGATCAGCACAGGGAGCCCTCGGGTCCCAAAGGGGACTGTGTGGGCAGCGAGAGTGTGGCCCTCAGCCAAGCCCAGAGCTCTGAGAGAACTGTGCAAGGGACAGCTGGCCCTGCAGTAGCCAGACGTCCGCCAGGGCCAGAGGCAGATGGACACCTGGGCTCACTCGGCCAGGCCAAGTTTCATGTCCCAGAGCCCAAAGGCCAAGGCCAAGCCAGCCAGCTGCAGCCAGAGGGGCAGAGTCCCCCAGAGAAGCTAAGTGAGTTCACCATGGCCAAGGCCAAGCCTGGAGCCACCCTGACCAGGCACGTTGAGGGGGTGGGTAGGCTCAGACAGCTCGAGGGAGGCGGGGCAGCCTGGCACCCTCCGTGGAAGGCAGGGGAGCCCCTGAGTCCCATCGCCTCTGACAGGGAGGCCTCGGTCCTGGCCCCGACAGCCACCCATGCCCAGAGCAGACGTGAGGGCTGCCCTGTGGTGAGGGTGGACGGCTCAGGCCATGGGGAGCAGCTGCTGTTTGCTGGGGGCAGCCCAGTGTGCCCCGTTGGGGACCCAACCCACTGCAACCCCACACCTGCTTCTGCAGCAGCCCTGGGCCCCTGTGGCCCTGAGCGCCTGACCCAGGAGGAGCCGCTGTCTGTGCCTCCAAGTGCCACGGAGGCCCGAGGAGAGTCGGGCGGGCTGCACCCAGCACCTCCATCCTGTGAGGACCCACCCTACCCACAGTCTGTGCCAGCCCAGGCACCCACCGATGCCAGGGCTGAGCAGTACCTGGCCACGACCCCACCAGGCAGGACAGGCCTCTGGGCCCCCGAGGGAGGCCTGGCAGACAGCAGCCCCCTAATGGACGCCCTCGAAGGGGCCCACCGTGGCTCAGACTTCACCCCTGCCCATGGGGGACACTCCCCTGACAGCAGCACTCCCAGAGCACTAGAAGATTCCGGGGAAGAACAGCCGGCGGGGGGCCCTGCCCCTGAGGCCCCTTCTCCCCCCGCAGGAACCATCTCCCCCGGAGGGACCAACAGGGCCCCTGGCCATCCCAGCCTTCCCCCACCATGTGTTTTGGAGGCGGCCAGAGGGCTCTGGACACTGGACCGCAGGGTTACATCCCCAGAGCCCCACTGTCCCTCCTCAGGCCCCGAGGAAGGCCAGTGTGTCATGGCCAAACCCACAGATGCATGTCCTGTGGAAGCCACAGGGCAGGATTCCCATACGTGCCTGGAGAGTGGGGTGGAGGCTGACGGCGAGGGCTGCTGGGAAGACCCCCGGATCCCTGGCACTGGACACTGTGGCTCCCCTTGGAATCACAGACACAACCCCCGCCAGGCACCTGGGGGAGACCTTCTGTGTCCCCAAGAACCCAAGCAGAAGCCCCGGTCCTTGGAGCATGGCCAGAGGACGGCCAGGTCCAGCCCAGGGGCGCCCCCTGTCACCTGCGAGATCTGCCACGCTTCCTTCCGCTCCCGGCCTGGCCTGAGCCGACACAAGGCCAGGAAGCATCGCAGTGGCCGCTCCCCAGCCTGTGGGGCCGTGCTCCCCAGCCGGGGGACCCCAGAACCCACAGCCAGCACACCTCAGACCTCCGGAGTGAAAGGCCCCAAGGCTGCAAGCAAAGAAAAACCAGGGAGCAGGCTCCAGGGGCCCAGCCTCACTGTGCGGCCACCCCCTGGCCCGGGCTCCGCTGAGGACAGGCCAGGAAGGGAGATGCCCACGGAGGCCGGGCAGGGGCTCAGGGCTGTCGAAGCACCAGGCCCATCACCCCACCCTGAGCCACAGACCCCAGGCCCGTTCAGCCAGGGGACAGACATGGCGCCTCGGGCCCACAGACCCAGGAAGACCAGCAAGCTGCAGAAGGGTGCGCCCCATCCCAAACTCACGGCGCCCAGAGGCGCCCAGAGACAAGGCAGAGAGCTAGGGGGCTTCCCCAGGGACTCGGGGATGAAGTCCAGCCCCAGAGGGAGGAAGGTGAGTGTGGGGAGGTTCCAGAAGAAGAGCGAGGCTTCTGACGCTGAGGAGAGCCGTCCTCCGGTCACTCCTGACCACCTTCCAGATAGAGCCGCCTTGAATCCATCCAGTGCAGTTGCCAGTTACCCGGCCAGGCCGAGCTGCTGCCTCTCACTAGAGGGGGAATGGGAAACAGATGGCGGGCAGCCGCCACGCACCACCTCACCGGAGCCAGGCGTGATGGGGGACACGGATGGAGTGGGTCCAGGGGCGGCGGCTGATGAAGCGACACGAGCCCGGAGCCCATGGGGAGACCTGATGACCGCCCCTCGCCAGGCAGGGCAGGATGCAGCAAGTGGGCTTTGGGGACCCAGAGAGCCGAGGACAGGTGGCACAAAGCCAGCACAGGCATCCAGGGGCGGGGCTGCTGGTGACAGCAGTGGGGCCAAGAGCAGCACGGGGGAAGGTGTGATGGGGGCACACGAGCCCCCCAGTGTTGAAACGAGCAGCCCCCCCGGCTGCGACCCCCAGGGCTTCTTGGGCCACCCAGAGGCTGGAGACCACGACACGGAGCTCCAGGCTCAGGTGTCCGGAGCCTGCAGCCCAGGTCTCAGGGGACCCCTGGGCCCGTTCAGTGACACCGCCTCATTTTCTCAGCTCTTTCCTCTGGGCAACCCCTTGACTCGTAAGAAGAACCCCCGAGTCTATGGGCAGCGCCGTAAGAACCCAAAGCTACCGCTGCCCCCAGAGCCATGCAGCGAGGTTGAGGGGCCCACCACGCCATGCTCCACCCGCCTGCCCACAGACCCGAGTGACTACGGCTCCCCATGCCTGTCCCACGAGGAGCCCTGGGCGGACGAGGCCTTCCTCGTCAACGGCTTCTTCAGCAGCAAGGTGCCTGGGATAAAGCCTTGGGCCCCCAGCTCCAGCCTGTGGGCCCTGGGGCAGCCCGAGAAGGGGTCCACCCCTGCCAAAGAGGCACCCTCTGGCCCACGCCCAGATGACCTGTCGGAGGGCCTCCCTGAGCTGCACAGGGTTCCGGCCGCCTGGCGAGGCCTGCACCTGCGGGCTTCGCCCAGTGAGACCTCCACCTCTTTGGGGGAGATGAGCCCTGAGCCCCCCAGCCTGGAGCGAGAAGACGCTGACAGCGGGCCCCCCGGCAGTGCAGGCCTGCCGCCATTCCCAGCCCTGGATTTCGGAGTGCTCAGTACAAGGTTTGAGGTGCAAGACCTGTCCCTTCTGGGGCCCTGTGAGGACCCCGGGGGACTCCCTGGGACCAGCCTTCTAGACCTTCAGGCTGAGGTGAGCACGCAGGGCCCACAGGGCCCAAGGCCGGAGGCAGCAGGGGGGAGCCCTGGCCAAGACCACCAGGCCAGAGCCAAGAAGGGCCCCTATAAGTGCCGCGTATGTTTCCGGCGCTTCCGAGGCCTGGGGGAGCTGGGCCTCCATAAGCTGGCCCACAGCCCCGCGCCGCCGCCCACCTGCTACATGTGCGTGGAGCGCAGGTTCGGCTCTCGCCAGCTGCTGCGTGACCACCTGCAGGAGAAGCATGTGCAGAGCAAGGCGGGGCTGTGGGCCTGCGGCATGTGCCTGCGCCAGGTGCCGGACGTCTGGATGTACAACGAGCACCTTCGGGAGCACGCCGTGCGCTTCGCCCGCCGGGGCCAGGCGCGGACGTCTCTGGGGGACCTGTCCCGCTGTTTGGAGGAGGGCAGCACCATTCCACGCTTTCTCGGCAGCGTCGTGGGGCAGGCTTCCCAGCCCCACGGGGGCCAGCGTGCCAACTCCAAGGCCAGCGCAGACCGCACAGAGGCCCGGAGAGGGATGACGGCGAAATCCAGGGCTCCCAGGGCCAGCCCTTCAGACAAAGATGGCACCTTGGTGCCAAGCAGTGGCTTGGTCGGCACCAAGGACTTGGGCGAGGACAGTCCACCCAGCCTGGTTCCATCCAGCTGCACCAAGGCGCCGCCCAGCCTGTCCCCCAAGCCCTGGTCCCTGAGCGAGCCCCTCCTCAGAGCCGTGCCGGTGCACGCAGACTGCAAGGATCCCTCGCGCCACTGCCACCACTGCGGGAAGCAGTTCCCCAAGCCCTTCAAGCTGCAGCGCCACCTGGCGGTGCACAGCGCGCAGCGCGTCTTCCTGTGCCCCCAGTGCCCGCGCGTCTACGCGGAGCACCGCGAGCTGCGCGCCCACCGCGGCCGCGAGCACGGGGCGCGCGGGGAGCCCGAGCGGCCGCCCACGCCGCTCTACGCTTGCGAGCTGTGCGCCACGGTCATGCGCGTCATCAAGCGCTCCTTCGTCTGCAGCGCCTGCAACTACACCTTCGCCAAGAAGGATCAGTTCGACCGCCACGTGGACAAGCACCGGAGGCCCGGCCGGCAGCCCTTCGCTTTCCGCCCCGTGAGGAGGCCAGGGGCCCCAGGGCAGAAGACTCCAGGCCTCGAGGGCTCCACGCCCAGCAAGCGGCGCCGCGTGGCAGTGCCTGGCAGTGCCCTGGGCCCCGGCGTGGACAGCCCCCACTCCCCGGGCAGCAGCCCCACCCCAGGCGCCGTCTCCCTGCCAGCCCTGCTTCCACCCTGCCCAGAACCGGCTTCCACCTCTGCCCAGGAGAAGCCCCAGACCCAGGAGGGGCCCTTGGAGCCAGAAGGTCGCCCAGTGGGAGTGGGTGACCCACCGCCTGACCGCCAGGAGCTGCTACCCCCGTTCCTGTCTCCTTTCCCGGCGCCCCCAGCTGGCAGCAAAGGTGGAGAAGAGGATGGAACCCGCCCTGGCAGCCCCTTGCCCCTCTGCCCGACCGCTGTTCCTCCGGGGCTGCCCCTGGGCCCGCTGGGTGCAGGAAGCCAAGTCGCAGAGGAAAATTTGGCGCCTCCTGCGTCCTCCAGGAAGCGCAGGACCCCAGCCGCCCCCCGCAAGTGTGCCCTTGACCCCTCCCTGGCCCAGAGAGAGAGGCAGGTGCCCAGGAGCCACATGCTGCCCAAGGGGGGTTCGGGGGGCGCTTCCCCCAAAGGGGATGCCAGCAAGGCTGGGGGCACCCGGGGTTCGTTGGAAGCCAGGCCAGCGATGTCTGCCCCAAGCAAAGTGCCCGTGTTTCCCACGCTGCCCAGGAGGGCCGTCCTGAGCCCTGCTTCTGCAGAGCCGCCCCAGGAGGCTGAGGACAGGCCTGGGCCCACCTCCCCCAAAGCCAAGCCAGACCCCAGCTCCCAGGGCGCTGGAGACGCCCAGCACAGCGCTGCAGCAGGGGGTGGCAGCCAGCCCCAGCCGGCCAGTGGGCTGCTTCAGAGTGAGACAGCCACCACCCCTGCCAAGACCCCCTGCCTGGGGCAGAGCCCCCCACCAGCCAGGCCCCCTCCCCAAGCCACAGCCAGAGGCCACAGCCAGGGGCCCAGGGGAGCCAGGGAGCAGGGGTCCCGAGAGAGTGTGGGGGGCTGTGGGGGGAAGCGCAGGGGCCGTGCCCCAGGCCCCACTGGCGGTGAAAGCACGGGGGTTCCAGGGAGATCCTCTGCGGCGCCTGACAAGTCCCCCCGGAATCCCCGGAAGCAGGCAGTCCCAAGGCACGTGCCCCCCACCAAGCCCCGAGCGAACAGCCAGACTCCCCAGCCACCGCTGCAGCCCCTGGAGCGCCAGAGGGAACCTCCGGGCCAGGGCCTCGGTGGCTTCCGGCACAGGAGGGAGGGGCTGGGCATGGCTGTCCCTAAGAGGAGGCTCCCTCATGGGCCCCCCAGGAGAGGCAGTGCTGTCTCCCCCTGCCCCTGCCCCCTGCGCACTGCTGAGTCCCAGAGCCACCTCCTCAGCCAGCTTTTTGGTCAGAGAGTGACCAGCTTCAAGATCCCGCTCAAGAGAGACCCCACCGAGTAGTGTGCACGGGGGTGGGGTGCGAGACCCCCTCGCCCATGGTGTGTGCGGGGGCGGGGTGGGGGTGCGAGCAGGAACCCGCTTCGCCTTTCAGCACCACAGCCCCCAGCCCCGGGACAGCTCCCCTGGTGGCCCTCCTCCCTTTGGGCCCCTGACTCAGTGTGGGCTGGTGCCAGGGCGGCATCCTGCGGGTGTGGGGCCGAGAGCCACGCCTTCCTGCTGCAGGGGCCGGCCAGGCAGAAGCATCCTTGGCACGGAGCACCTGAGGGAGCAGCCCACCCGCCCCAGGGGTGCTGGGTGGAGAGCCCCGAAGGGCGCAGCTAGTGGGAAGGCTGTCCCTTCAATGTTGCTGCTGCTGCTGCGGCTGCTGGAATTCCAGTGGTCTTAGAAACCAAACAGGGGCCTAGGAAGGTGGTCCCGAGGCGCCAGGCCCCCCCACACCACACCCTGCAGACCACTGCCCCCAGTGCACCATGACCCCTGGGACCAGGCTCCCACATGGCACGTGGGGACACTGTCCATCCACCACCACCCAGCAGCTCTCCCTTCCTGGGCCCCCAGTCCCCACAATTACCCATCTTGAGTATCAGCGATTTTACCCTGAAGTTTCTGGTGCTATTTTCATGTAATGTGAATACACGCCTCCTGGATGTTTTTTGACTGGGGGGTCAGGAAGGTTAAAAGGGTCAGGGATGCTCCAGGAAGATGGACCATTACCTGCGTTGAAGACACACAGTGTTTCCCCCATCCTCGTCGGTCCTGCAGTCCGAGTGGGCAAAACAGCAAGGGCCGCTGCAGCCAGATAGGAGCACTGAGGGCCCGGCGAGGCGTGGACAGCAGCAGAGGCCTCATGCACTGACCTGCCCGGAGAGAGGGGGCGGAAGGTCTTTGTGCAGAGTTTCTGGGTTGAAAGCACAGGAGGACGCATGCTGCTGGAGGGCGTTGCTAAGGTCCATGGCCCTGTTCTCTATTAATTTTCACTTTTCGTGCAATGTGTATGTCAAAAAATTTATTTTGATATCTTGAAAGAGACCAAACTGGGCAAAAATTGCCTTTCTAGAAGGTGGTGCTGGAGGTTCCGAATGCCTCCTCAACGGCGTGAAGTGAACCACAGGGGAGCGCTGCGGTCACACTGTCAAAGTCTGGCTAGCTCGGCCTTTCAAATACACCCCACCTAGTTTCACAGGAAGCCACTTGTCCTCGTGGTGTTTGTTCCCCGCGCCCTCGCTGCCCCTCGCCCACCCCAGAGCTCAGCCCACATGGTGTTTGCATCAGCTGCCTCCCCAGGCCTCTCTGTGCCCACTCACTGGGTCCCCACACCCCTCAGAGAGGGAGGGGTCTCACCCCAGTGCTCCCTGGGAGACGGCAGAATGGGAGGCCGAAGTACCCTGCTCCCCAGGCCGGGACAGACAGTGGGCTCCTGAAGGGGCCACCCTTCAGGAGACAGACCCACGGTGAACAGCACTGGCCTTTACCCTCGGTGGGGGAACGGGAGGGAGCGAGAGACTGGCGGTGACTGCCTAGTGGTCACGGAGGGCGGCTACTGGAGCCAGTGAGGGAGGCAGGCGCAAGGCTCCCCAGAGGGCTTCTCGCCTGTAGTCCACACCCATACCCCACTCCGGCAGCCCCAGAGGCGGGTAGTCTCCCTACTGACCTCAGCACTGTGTCCCCCTGGCTCCACCCGTGGGACCTGAGGCTGCACTTGGAGCCCCACCTGCTTCTGTCCACTGCACGTGTCTGGAGGGCCTCTGCGGCAGCACAGCACCTGTGGGCGACGGGAGTCCCAACTCTCCGGGGCGGTGGTGCCGGTGGACCGAGGCCCCACCAGGGCAGTACGCGTCCGGCGCATCCCTGGGAGTCCGCCAGCCTCTGGCCTGGCCACTAGATGGCAGCACCCTTCCAGGTCCGTCTGCGGCCAGTGGCCCCGAGTCCCAGGGCCTGGCCTCAGCAACTGGGACCCACGGACCACAGCCTCATTGGGCACGTGCCTCCAGGCCACTGCACACAGGTGGGACACAGCACTGAAGCAACCACAAACCCGGAGCGTGTCTGTGGTCAGGGAGGGGAGGGGACCTGCCAGTGCATTGTGCACCTGGGAAGACAGAGGCTGAGGGGCTTTAGTGGTCCCCAAGGTGGAGGCATCTCCACCTCAGGAACCAAACCGGGCTCCACCTGTGGGGGACGACAGTTATGGTGACTCAGGTCACAAGGCCCTGAGGACCTGGTCCCCAGAGGGCATGGAAAGGGACTCTAAGCTGGTGGCCAGCAGAGAGCAGGAGCAGCCTTGCCAGTCTAAGATGGCGAGTGGGGTGGGTTCCCTGAGGCACCCAGGTGACAGGTGTGGGGCCAGGAGGCCTGTGGGGAGCACAGGTCCTGCCGTGTCTTCTAAGCCTCCTGTGGGCTCCAGGCCATGTCTTTGTGACCCAGGTCCTCATCTGTCCAGCAGGCGGCCCTGCCCTCTGGCTCCCATCCCCGCTGCTGGAGAAGCCCCAGCACCCTGCACTGAGACCCTGCAGGGCTGCCTCCTCCTGGCCTTCCCTGGCAGGGGGAGCCCAAGGCCACAGCCCCTTCCCACAGGGCAGTGTCTGTCTCGCTGAGGGGCCAGCATGGCCTTGAGGGGGGCAGCTCAAGGCTACCAGCCTCCCCTCAAGCCCTGGGATGGGAGGAGACTGGCTGGCCTCTTCCCAAGGCCCACATCTTGGCTGGGTGAGCTCACCACCTGCAAGAGGGTGGGCCGAGGGCAGACAGGGCTGGTCTGAGGCATGGCCTCAGCCTCCAACTGCTGGTCGACCTTGGGCCCCGGGCCTCGGCTTTTCCACCCACTAAATGGCGTAAAGCCCCCCAGAAGTGCTCCAGCTCTGACCCTCGGGGAGTCCCGAACTAAATGCTGTGGTTCCTCCCCAGCCTCAGTTTCCCTGTCTGTGACATTCCAGCTCACGTTCCTGAGCGTCCCCACCACCTGTGGAAGGCTTATGCTACTGAGCTCACCGGCTATCAGCCCGGAGGCCCACGGTCGCCTCCCCATGCTTGGGCTTCCTTACAACATGGTGGCTGAGTTCTGAAAGTCTGTCCAGGGACAGGAAGTGGAAGCTGCTTGGGTACGGGAGCCACCCAGCATGGCTTCGACCATATTCTGCTGGTCAAGCGGCCAGCGTCTGCACTGAGGGAGCAGAGACAGAGGCCTGACCTCTCAGTGGGGGCGTCGCAGAATCTGGAGGCGTGTGTGTAAGCCACACAGCTCACCTTGGGCCATGGGGATTCGCATTGTTCCTCCGTCTCATCTGCAGTACCAGCTCTGCCTCCTGGCCCAGGTCTCACATAAAGCAGGCGGGAGTAGACGAGGTCCCAAGGCCCCTTCTTGAGTGTGGTTCTTAACCCAAAGACCTCTGAACAGAAACCTCTGCCCACCACACCCCACATGCAACAGGGGGACATAGGGTGAACACCACAGACCCTCGGGCCCAGGACTCAGGAAAGGGTAGCATGCAGCCCCCAATGGGCCACCCGCTAAAAAACAAAACGTCGTTGACAGAGCATCGATCACGGCTCCTGGTGACCTCGTGTACTACTGGGTGGACCTGTGCTCTGTGGGGTCTTTGATGGTGGATTTGTCAGAGGTCAGTCACCAGGTCTTTCTTCCAAGGCCCAACAGGTAAGCCAGAACCTCCAACCTTCCTCTTCGTAGCTGGGTGTTAAACGTTGGTGCCACTAGGGGCTCCCACTGGCCCATTGCAGGTCAGAAAGCCAGGCAGGCATGCAAGCTTCTCTGTCCGGATCCAGTGCTGCCCCGAGAGGGGGTCTTTGCCTCCTGGGCCCTGGATCCTAGATCCAGACCCTGAGCCCTCCTGTCCTACCCACGGGAATGTGGTTGTGAGGCAGCAGCCTACTCTGCTGGCTTCCTGACGGGGTGTGGTGCACAGACCTCGTTTCATTCTCTGCTGTCCAAGCCAGGGGTGTTCCTGCCAGGACAGCGTCTCCCAACTCTATCAAACCCACTGCTGTGGAGTCTATTCTGCCCCACAGCACCCCCAGAGGACAGAGTGGAACTGCCCACAGGGTCTCCAAGGCTGTCAATCTTCACAGAAGCAAAGCCCAAACCA